CCCCTCCTCTCCCCCCTCCCCCCCCCCCCCCCCCCCAATTTTTTGGGGGAGTATTCTTTTTCTTTTTAACTATATTGAGAGAAGAACTAATTTTTATCTTGGTATTTGGAAAGATATTCTTGTGGTGTCAGCTAAGGCTGTTCATCTTCTTTTTCAGTTGTTTGGAGTCTTTTGGGCTGCTTACAGTGCTGCATCATTACTAGTTGGAGAAGAATTCAAGACCAAGAAACCCCTTCTAATTTATCCAATCTTTTTATTATACATTTATTTTCTGTCCTTGTACACCGGGGTGTGATCTAGTACAAGATGTGGCCAGAAACCGTATTTTATTCACTTGCAGACTGATAACGCATAAGATTAAGGAGGCTGGAGATAATACAAGTGACTGTTTTGTATCCAGTTGTCAAGATGTTTTAAGATCGAAGAGCATATTTGTGTATATTATTTAATGAAGCAATTGTAGCTATATAGATTTGTATCAAAGTTCTAGGTTTGTTTAAGACTCTTCAGATTTTAATGAACAAAATAAAAGAACCTTGTGTTTTATAACAAAGTGTAGCAAAACCGCAACTCGATACCTGTGCCAAAAGCACTAGGACCAGATTACTATATTGGAGGAGGAAAATGAGAAGTTAATGGTAATGATCTCAAAGTGCAATTTTTCTTTTGAGCTTAAACACAGCTGGCTTTTTTGGCACAGCAAGTTCTGTAGATAATATATATTTATGAAACAGTCCTGATTGTTCACAGAATAGTCTGTATAATCAAGACATGAAGATACTACTTTTAATTTAGTGCCTCAAGTACTTTGATTTGGCTATTGAGTTTTTATAAATTCCAATTTGTTTTCAAAACATGTATATACTGTGTATTTTGTATCTATGGCTTGTGTGTAGCGTAAATACTCCTTGGTTAAGGATGTATATTGGGTTTTTAAAAATCGAAGATACAAGTATTTGAAGTCTTCATTTACTATCTCTGACCAAAGGAGCAAGATATTTACTGTGCAACATAATGAATTGAAATGCATCTTTAGAGAATAAAATTATTTTACTTAAAAGTATAAATTTACAGAGAAACAGGCAAACACCTTTCCCAACTGTAGAGATGGCTTAATGTTGCAGAACAAAAAGATGATCTATCAAATTTGTGTGATCTTTAAACAATGTTATTTTATGATGACAAAATAAAAATAATGCTTCCCTAACTATGTTTTACAACATCTTGCTCTGTCTTGCTTTTGATAGCATGGTATTTAACATGCATCCATGGTTTGGTTTTGTTGGCTTGCTTTGGTTTTTTTTTCTTTCCCCAGTACTATTAATCCCTTGTAAAGAGAAATAAAAAAGATTTGTAAGGGCAGATTCTCCCTCCACTAAACAAGGCAGAATGACAGCCTTGGTAACAATTACAGTCTTGCTAATTTTGACTATCCAAGGATTATGTAATAACGTGGTGACATGTTAAATATTTCCTGTGTACTGTGTTGATTGCTTATGTAATGGTCCTTATGGTAATGTTTCTTCACAAGGGAAGTCCACTGAAGTTCACTTTGCATGGTACTAACTTAGGTATTTGCAATCTTCAGTATTTAGCGTTGCCAAATAGATTTAAGTTTCTTAGTATTTGGTTTTGGTAACAGGGAAAAAAAAAAAAGCATTCCCCATCCCCTTTTTTTCTTTTTTTTTTTTTTTTTTTTTTTTTTTTTGTGTGTGTGTGCTTCAAATAAAAATCAGCTGTGACAAGGTAATAGCAAGGGCTGTCTGATCCCCAATGGACATATTTCCTTACCAGAACTGTAGTTTTTCAGATTTTTAGGCTGTGTAACTTGCCATTTTAGTAATTTATTTTTACTACTCATTATTGATGCATTAAATTCCAGCTCTACCACAGACCTTTAGCTTATGCAGTCTGCTTTTCTGGCTGATGCTTGTGTTGGTTTCAAACTGAACTACTTAAAAGTTGGTGCTGGCCATAAATTGTAACATAATACTCTACTTGTAATACATTAAAGGAGAAAAACTGGAAGAGAGATGGTCTTTTCACCTCATTTTTGACTTCTGCAGATGTTCTGGTGGAATTACTGCAGATTCATACTAAACCAGTTATACCACCAGCTTAGTTCTTACCTGCAAGTGTTTTGTGAGTATCCATACCACATTCTTAAAAAATGGGGGGGGAGGAAAAAAAGGCATGTTAGCTTTGGAATCTTGCATGATAATCTGGTTTTATCTCTACGTTCATGACTTGCATTTCTTTTTTTAACAGGAATATCCAACTAGTATTAGAAGATTCAACCCAGACCCTGTCTCTGAATACTAATTTACTAAACATCCCCACAAACGTGAAGGGCAAGGACACGTTTAGGTTACTAGGCTGTCAGAGAGCTTTAAGCTTAGTTCCTCTTTGCATAGCTGTTCTATTCGATATCCGTAATGGGTCCTGTGCAACTGAAATGACTATGAATATTCAAAGGCTGCAAGAATGTTCTATTTAATCCCCATCTCCGAGTATCTTATTTTCCTTTATAGTAATGTTCTATGAAATTTATAGTTGGAATTTTAACTGTTCCTTTCCACAGACTTGGCATGTGTAATATGCAATGTAGATATGCACTTAACGTAGTACGGATTTTGTACACAATTGCAGATTTGCACCTTTTAATCTCAGTCTCTCTAGGGTCACCTTTTGCGTATGCTGTGCAAGAAGTATGTACAAACAGCTCTCAAATGGTTCTGATAGTTTGTAATAACTTTGCATTCAACAAACTCATATTTTTAGATGAGGTATGTGTGTAAATACAAGCTGTATTTTATAAAAATTTTGAATTAAACTTGTTTACACAATGTATGAAGCTCATTTATATTTACTGAATTGACATCTATATTCCTATTCATGTCATCAATCACAAGCTTTGAGGCAATAAATAAATATTTGTGATAATAGATACAGTACTCCTATTGTCACTGAAATCCGGGAAATAGACTCTCCAACCAGAAGGACAGGTTAGCAAGCCGACATTACTTTATTATGGCACCCCCTGGGTGCATGGGGGATTGCTCTGCTCATCACTCACACCGAGAAGAGACAGCTTGCAGCGTATGTATCTTTGTTATATTACATATTTATTATAATTCCACAAAATGCCCGCCCAGTTCTTGTTACTCGCACGTAAGACAATTGGGTAGGCAAGGCTGAGGCGCAGGCACTGTGAATTCTCTGGGGGTCATTGATGGTCCTTTGGGGAGAAATAAATACCCTTACTCATTTTACCATTTTATGGAAATCTATTAGCTAAGAACATTGGATGTGTTTAGTCTTTCCAATTAACTACATGTTCTTGTTTGGTCTAATTTGTGACCCTGAGAGGCTCCTCAAGTTTTCTTTTGCAGCTCTTTACCTATTTCTCAGGCCTTGCCAACAGGAGGAAGCCTGCATTCTTCTTGAGAGAAGACATCTGGTTCTTCTGTTGCATGCCTTCCTTATCTTTAGAATTGTAACCTCTACACACAGTAGAACTCTAGTTTAAGAATCGTTGTAGCCCTGTCTATGTCCAAGTCTCTATATTCAGTGAAATACTAATTTGGTATCAATTTGTCTCAAAACTGGAAACACAGAGCACATCCATCCAGCACGAAGTTCCTGTTCCAAGACGCAACGTCTCATTTCAAGGAAGAGGCATGGGTATCATCTTTATAAGACATGCTCTTTGGACCATCTTCTGGATAGAGCAGCTAGACATGTGCACATGAACTTGCCTTCTTCCCTCTTCTACCCATCAGACATACTTCATCATTTATCAGAAAAATTATACCTACTTGAAAACAATATGAAATCAATTGCTTTGGAGACAACATAGAGCTTGAGATCTGCTTTAAATTTTGTCACTACCCTTATCGGTCTTTAATGATTCATCTAAAGTAGTGAAGCAAGCTTGAAAGCTGCTTATTCTGCTCTCAGGACAATTTTGGTAAGGCTGGTGGCATACCCATGTGGGTCTGGTCTTTTCTTTTCCCCTTAGACATGGTATTTCTTAAATCATTTCCCCACTGCAGCAGCCTGTGCTAGCATGGGTCATTCTAATAAAAATACTCTCCTGTAGGAAACCACATTACATTTGAAATGTCAATATATTTGAGATCATCAGTAGCCTAAAAACTTCGTCTAATATTTTAGTAGAGCAGGTCACTCAGATAAAATAATGCCAATAGGTAGGTTTGGCTGTACAAGCTGCACTGGTATTCCAGTGGGGGAAAAGCCTCAGCGAAATACAGAAGGTATTACTAACGTCATTTTTGAAGCTGGGTGAATCCTGCTCCAGAACAAAATGCTTTCAAGGCACTGGGGGCGGGACGCGGGTGGGAAATGCTCCTGGAATGTCTACGCGTCTGTGTATCAAACTTAATCCCGAAGGGAAGCGGTAGCAGGCCGGCGCTAGTATTTCTTCACTCTGTAGCAGAGCTGGAGGCAGCCTAAGCAGGGGCTCTC